GTTGGAAATGTGGACAACAAGAAGGGACTTTTTATCATCTTTAGAGGACATGTAATAAGGCTAAAAAATTTTGGACTCAAATCCATATATAACCAGAAGTTTTCCTTTTGGGACTGATGGACAAACAACTGGAAAAAGCTTATGGACCTTTGTTTCTATATGCTCAAAGGTGGAAAGACCCAATATTACCTACAATGGAAGAATGGATCGTGAAGATGATGGAGTTAGCTGAGATGACAAAATTGACAGCTTTGCTTAGAGAAAAAACATTGACTAGTTTTATTGCCAATTGGAAGCCCCTTTTGGACTTTTTGCAGGAGACAGAAAAAATGAAATCATGATGGATTTGATGATTAGGTAAAATAATAGGTTATACAAAATATGTATGTTAAGATGTAGTTTAAGAGTAAGAGGTCACTATATGATTCATTTATATCTGCTGAATAAGAAGTCAGAAGTCATTCTTTTTGTAAGTTTTCCTTTTTAATTTTCATCACTTTTGTATTCCTTCTTTATCTTTAACTCTTTTGTTCTCTACTTTTCTTTTTGATTATTAGTTCTTGTTTGCTTTTACCTGTATGTTTTTTATAACTTAATAAGGTTCTTATTTAAAAAAAAAAAAAAGGAAGAGCTTAGATATTTGGAGAAAGCTCTGTCAACTTCGGTTGCTATGCACTCTGCCTGAATCTTGAATTATATAGAGCAAATCAGTGGATAAAATCAATCTAGCTGGCTCCGCTAAAAATTACCAACCAGGAATCAACACCTGCATGCATTTAATGTAGGGATTTTATTCATGTTCCTAGTTTCATAGATCTCCACATCCTAGAATGCAGAAGATATGTAGAAAGATTAATGAATTTAAGTAAACTGTAGTTAACAACTACCACAATGTGACTTGTGGTATTTTCCTTCTCATATTTCTCTCTAACATCCTTCCTTATGTCTTTCAAGGTACAATATAGCAGGGTAGTCAAGACAATGTAGTCTTAACGGACACGTTTTGAAGCAGTAATTTCTAGAGACATTTCTAGAGGTATTTTTAGAGACATCAATAAAATAATGGCAGATCTAAGAGGTGTGCCCAGAATCTACTGCAACATCAGTGAAATTACCTAAAGAAGTAGCATTTGCTGCATACCGTTAGAGGTGTATCTATACAGGTAGTCCTCATTTAGCGACCACAATGGGAATCGGCAACTTGATCATTTAAGCAAAGCAGTTGCTAAGTGAAACTGCAACTGTGCTTACAATCTTCCTTCAGCTTTCCTTTGCTTTACAGATCTGTGAAGGTCGTAAATGTGAGGATTGGTCACAAAGTTATTTTTTCATCACTGCTGTAACTGCAAACGGTTGCTGTCCGAGGCAGTCGCTAAACGAGGACTACCTATATTCTTTTTGATGTTGTTAGTGATCCTAGGACATGTTTATTTGATCACAAAAATTTTCCACTTGGGGTAGCATATCTTGAATAAGAATTTGATCAGTGGTGAATTTTGCATGCCTATCCTTTTCATTTAACTTTTTTTTTACTCTTAAAACTTCTGACAAAAGCTGTTTATGTGCATAATCATGCAATTCTGGAAAAGCAGTACTGTCTAAAAACAAATATGAAGAATTAATCTTACTAATCCAAGAAAAGAAAAGACAAAGATTTATCCTCAAGGCACAATGTTCCATTCTGTCAGTACATCATTTTGGAGGATAGCAAGTTAAAAAGAAAACACTTGCCTAAACATGTTTAAATTTCACCTACTCAGATTTTCAAACATTTTCAGTACATTTCTCTTATTTCTGATTGCAGAAAATTGAAAAATGTGCTTTTACACAATGATGCCAGGGCTGAAACAAAACAAGCATATTTCATCCTTTGCAATCTGATGAGACATTTCATTGGGTGAGAATTGCAACTATATAATATTGAAAATGGTAAAATTATAATAATACATAGAAAAATGGCATTCATTTTGTTTCTTATATAAGTACCCAGAAGTCTGAAAGTATAATTTGAATGTGTTCAACTCCCAAAGACCAAAACCTGCAGATTACTTTACATTAAATAGCCACAAATGAATCACTGTAAACCAGATCTGGTCATATAACCTTATGCACAGAGTGGAATGTCCTGAGGAAAAACTTTGCCTATGCCTATGCTCTGAGGTTGGGTAGTACACCTGATTAAAATATTTCAGACTCCTTCCTGTCTAATGCTAATGGTACATATTTAAGGACTTAACTTTTGATGTTTACAGAAGTAAAGAAAACTTAGCTTTACTGCTTTCTAGTAAAAATAATGGGAATAATTATAAATTCTATACAGATGGAAATTGAAAGAACAGGTGAATCTTTTTTTGATTCAGGATTCTTTTCTTCAGTTGTCTTCTGCTTTTTTTTCAGCAGTAGACAGTACAGCATATACTAGCTCAACACAGAATCATTTCCTTTCCCTATCCCAAATATTCCAAACCAAGCTATGTTATTCAACAGGAACTTTCTTTCAGCTTCCATTTCTGATAACCAAAGTGACCACAAACTAAAATTTCCAAAATACCACTACATGTACCATTTCTCTGCTTCCAAAAGGTCCATTTGCACACTATTTGTGCTATGTGCATTGTCATTAAAGGTTCTGATTTTGGGATACTCCTCTTTCCCTGCAAATGCTGCCATCATTTTCCTTTGATATGCGGCTTGGGCCACCTGCTTGTAACATTTCCTGCTGCTTATAATCTCTTGTTTTACTTGCTCCAGAGCATCTAAAAAGAATTTCTCCACTTCTGTCCTTTCATTCAAGATGTTCCTGGCTAATTTCTTCACTCTGCTCATCTCTCTCTCTTTCATTTCCAGCAGCTGCTCCAACTTTTCAATTTCTGTCCGACCTGCTTGGTTCTGCACCAAAGCTTTCTCTTCTGTTTTTTTTACTTCTATTTTAAATTCTCTGGCCATGTGATTAACAACTGCTTCCAGTTTTTTAACCTTGTTTTGAAGCTCCTGGATTAGTGCTTTCTGATGAGTAATTTGTAGAATCTTCTCCTTAACTAAAAGGTCTTTGGTTTCCTTAAAAAACAAGAAACAAGGAAGACAAAAAATTACTGGTAAACATTAATAGTTTTCTTTAATTAACAAAACTTTAAATGAGAATTGGTCATGAATGCATTATTTGCCAGTCCTATTTCTTCTGTTTGAAGAGTGTATCTTCTATCAATGCTGAATCTTTCCAGATAGGATGTAACATTATTAGATATTTATACTCTGGAATAAAACGACTATAGCTTCCCTGCTAATCAACTGGTAATTGAAAGCATGATTGTTCAACTGAAATCAGTATCAAAATACTTGGAAAAAAGATGACTGAGGAGGAACATTAATTGTCATCTTCCCCCTGTCATCTTGAACATATTTTAGTATTTATGTATAGGGTTGTTTTTATAGTCTGATTTTAATTGATTAATTAATTTAAACTATTTATATGGAACCTTTTTTAATGGTTCTTGGGTCTTTGGTTTTAATTGTGAGCCGCCCAGAGTCACCTGTTGGGGGAGATGGGCGGCATACAAATTTAATAAATAAATAAATTGTTGTACGCTGTGCAGAGTCACCTTGTGTGAGATGGGCAGCTATATAAATATGATAAATAAATAAACAAACAAACATGTTTGAGGTGTATAAAATCATACATGCCATAGAAAAAGTGGACAGGGAGAAGTTTTTAATCACACTCTGAAAACACCAGCATCAGGTACCATCTAATGAAGTTGATTGGAAGGAGATATGAAATAGATGAAATACTTCACATAGCACATAATGGAAATTGGAGCATTGTCATGCACACTAGATTTCATGAGAGCCTATTTCAACAAGCCTAGCAGGATCTGATAAACAGAAATCATCTGGTCAAAGAGAATGCAAAAGGATTGGGAACTTATTTTTGAAAATATGTTAGCAGTACAATTGCATACCATTCCAGTGAGAAAAAAAGGGGGTGGCTTAGAAAATTTATGGATGCGTAGGTAGCTTTTGGCTAAACTAAGTGTTAAAAGGACATGTATAGGAAATGGAAGATGGGTGAAATAATCAAGGAAGCATATCAGGAAGAAGCTAGTATCTGCACAAAATAAGAAAGTAAGGCTAAAGTGCAAAAGGAATTTAAGCTCACATGAGAACATAAAAAGGAACAAAAATTGTGTTTTTGGTCCTGTCAATGGTAAATTAAAGAAAAAAGGAGTGGCTCCACTGCTTGGAGAACATGGTAGAATAGGTACTGATGATGCAGAGAAGGTAGAGTTCCTCAGCTTCTATTTTGCTTCTGTTTTCTTTCCAGTGAGGAACTGTGTTCCAATGAACCTAATTAGAACAACTGAAAAAAGGAGGGACTGGTAACCAAGTTAAGTGAGGGGAGTTTTGAAATACTTAACTATCATGAATGAATTTCAGTCTCCAAGACCAGATCAATGACATCCAAGAGTTTTGAAGAATTATCCCAGAGGCCCTTTCTGTGATCTTTAAGATATCACAAAAGACATAGTGTCAGAGGATTGGAGATAAGCAAACATTCTTCATATCTTGAAAAAGAGGAAAAAAGAGAACCCAGGTGATTAAATACTGGTCAACTTGATGTTGATACTGGGCAATAGTTTGGAACAGATTATTAAGTGATTAGTTTGTGAGTATTTAGAAAAGAATGCATTGCTTTGTAGGGCAGCAAGAATAAATGATGTCAAACCAACTTGTTCCTCTTTTTTGATAAGTGACCAGTTTAGTTCACCACAGAAATACAATGGACATTATATTCCTTGACTTCAGCTGAGCACTACAGCCTATGAAATTCTAATGGAGAAGATGGCAAAATGTGGGATGGATAAACCTGGTGAACAATTGTACCCAATAAGTGTTTTTTAGTGGTTCTGGGTCAAGCTGGATGTTAAGTGGTATACTACAAGACTGTTCCAGACTCTATACCACTCAACATAATTATAAATGGCTTGGATAAGTTAAAGATATGATTATCAAAATATGACATAAGGATAGGGGAGGATAACCACTTTAGCAAACAAGTAGGTAAATCTTAGTAACAAGCTTCAAGAGGACCTTGACAAGCTGGAATAATAGACAGAAACCAGGAAACTGTCAGGTTTCCTTTGTTTGACAAGACAAAAAATTCAGGATTTCTAAGGACACAAATAGGTAAATGGGTTTCTTGTAGAAAAGCTATTAAGCAATTAAGAAAAAAAAATCAGTAGCTGGTGTATATCAAATGCAGGCTTCATTTATAATAAAAATCAACATTCATATTCTTGCAGCTGTTTCCTGCCTGCATGATGCAAAGAGCTGAAAGCCACTCTGTGTTGGGTGAGAGACAATTTGCGTCTTGCTTCTTATTTTGGTAAAATAGTCTAGTATCAGACTGTTTGCTTTTGACTATGTGAGAACTTGCTCCCACACAAGATGAATTGCAAAGTCTTTCATTTGGATGGAAAAGTCAAAGGCATGATATCAGAGACCATATGGAGAGCAGTATATGAAAAAAATATCTGAATGTCTTGTGGATCACAAGCTGAACATGAACTAACAGTGTGATGCAGCTGCAAAGAAAGCAATTGCAATCCTAGGCATCATCAATAGAAGTACAATGTCATATTCAAGAGAAGTCATCACTACTCTCCATTTCACATTGATCAGACCACACATAAAATATTGCGTGCAATTCTAGGAAGGCCAACTATTTTATGAAGGACACTGACAACTTGGAGTGTGTCCACAGAAAACCAACAAGATGGTAAGGAGCCTGGAAAAAAACTCCATGAAGACATGGAGACATGAAAGTTATCCTGAAGCATCTGATGATAGGGTAAACTTAGTTTCATTCCAGAAGACAAGACAAGAAACAATGGGTTTACATTACAAGGAAAACAGATTTTGATTATATATCAGGAGGAATATCCTAATGGTTAAAAGCTGTTCAACACTGGAACATATTGTCTAGGGAGACTTTATAGCCATTTTTTCAGGGATGCTGTAGTAGATTCCTGCACTAGACAGGAGGTTGGATTAGATGATCTCAAATATACTTTCCAACCTTTACATTCTGTGATAATTACCCAGTGAAATTAATTACCACAAGTCATACTGATAGCCACTAACTTGAATGGCTTCAAAATAGGATTGGATAAATTCATGGAACATGAATCTATCAAGGGCTATTGGTTTTAAAGATTGTTACCTCCATGCTTAATTTATGTCTTGTCTTTCTTTTAGCGCTCCCTCATCTCATTTTTCTTAACTCTGTGTAGAGCTGAAAGATTGGCTCAAAGTCACTTCCGTGACTGAGGATGGATTTGAAGCTGGGTCACCCCTGTCACTCCAGCCTATGGTATACTAGTTTCAGGGGAATAATGATAGGAAACATTATGTTATTATCTCCATCTCCTATCTGTGAGCACCACAGAGGTATCTGGTTGCTACTGTGAGAAAGAAAATGTGAAATTAAGATGGCCTTGACTTGTAGCCTGAGGTAGCAGAGTCATTCCTATTTTTAAAATCTAAGTTACCTACAATAATGGCCCTATCTAAACTTACTTTGAAGCTACTTTGAATAAATAAATATTGTAATACTGTATTCATTTCCAAATCTAAGCATAACTAAAGAAAAAAAATAAAATGGTTTTCAGTAGGTGGCTAAGAGAGGCTCTCAAAAATTGCCTGTCCACTTACATAAAATTTTAAGCTTTCCAAGATATGCCAAATGACACATATTCCAATGTCTCTGTTTAGAAAACTATATTCCTAAAAACTTTATGAAATATGATTTAGGCCTCTTATTTATCAAAGAACAAAAAAGGAAGAATAGAAACCTTTTCCTGCAAGAGAAAGGCATTGTTCTCCTCCAATTTTTGCTTGAGTTTTTGTAACTCTTCTGTCTCCTTCATGTGGTATCCAAGAGCCTCTTGAAGACGAACATTCTCTGTAAAAACTGCTCGTCCAGCATTATCCAATTGCCTGAATAAGAGCAAAATAATCCAGCAGTTGATATCACAAATTTTCTGGGCTAATTCTAATAACGTGTAAGTGGAAAGTCTGCCTGCACAATGGGACTTTATCTACTTTTCCTCCTCCTGCAGTTTCCAGTGTCCCCTGAAAATCTACTCTGGAGGATCCCCAACAGCGGGGAACAGTTTTTGAGCCAAAGGCCAAAAGAGGAGGTGTCTCCCATATTTCATCAATCGAAGCAATTAATCAGTAGGAGAATTTTAGCTCCTTTATGAACTGTAACATTTCACAATACAAAAAACTATAAATTCAGAATGAACTGATACAGGCAACATTTATGGACATATTAGGATTACTTTCAGCCTGGCATCCTTTTTTTTTTTCCAGGAATGAAGCATGTGTGGACTTCCTAGAATCATTCATATTTTATCATCATCTTCAGCATACGAATACAAAGGTCAATTAAGTCTTACACAATAGCTTCATGATGGGCTCTTTCGGCCAGCATTATAATCTTCTTCTCTGCTTCTCTTTCCAGACGTTGCTAAAAGAGAAAAAAAGTAAGAACAAGAGGGAAAGCTATATATTACTGCAGGGATTAGATACTTTGAAGCTGTACGTCTACTATTCCCAAAGTACTCTACCTTTTCTTCAAGGAACTTTTTCTCCAACATACAAATAGTTTCCTGATGTTCTTTTTTTGTGATATCCAAAGTATCTTTCAGCTAGAATTTAAAGATGTATTTAATTATAATTTTGTCATCTAGAGGACAATTCAACTAAAACTTCCTAGAGAAGACTACACAGGCCTGCACTTGTTCTAAAACATCTCACATCCAGATTTTCTCCTATTGTTTTTCAGATTTTAGTCCTTACATATCTTACTTTGTATAGTACAAAAAAAAGTTAATAGATTGGCAACTCTACAAATACATACATATATCACAAGCACTATTTAAAGATATAACTACTGTATCTCATTTTAACATAGCTTTAACATAGCTTTTCCTCTTCTGGGGGGATTGTCCAATTGATTGTTCTTCAAGATACCTGTTGAAATACCTGTTCTATGTTATATCAATCTGCCAGAGTTGGAAATTCTAAAAGCAACAAAATGGAGGACACCACATTGAGGTGCATTGCATTGTTGTTCAATACAATGCAAAATATTTTCTTTTGCATATGTCTGATGAATAATGGTGCCATTAACAAGATATTATCCAGTTTAAAATGCATGCATTGTATTATTCTATTAAAATTCATGCAAAGTACTGCCCTATTCTAACTTACAGACTGTTCTGATACATATTTCACAACTCTATGTCACTACTGGAAACTACACCAGTCTAGTATAGGAACTGGCAATAAGGGGAAGGTATAAGGCCCTTCAAAAAATTAATGTAAGAGTTGTGAAGAATGAACTTACATCTTCAAGTTCTTTCTCCAAAAATGCTTTCTTTTTGCGAAATTCCTTGATCATCTTAAGTTCAATCTGAATTAGACCAATTTCCTTGGCTTTTCGGTGGAATTTTTCCTCCATTTCTGCTAACTGTTTAGTGAATTGTTCTGCCTACAAATTTAAAAGCTTTCAGCAAAAAGAAAATGTCTAAAAACATACATATAAAATTATTTAAACAGTAATGAAAACAAACATGACATTTTAGTGCAATCTTTAAAAGCAATTAAAAATAATCCATCACCAGGGGAAAGCTACTACTAAAGAACTAAAATAACTATTAACAAAATGAAACTGCAAAATAAGGGCAAGTAATGGCTTTATCAGTTCCAAGACGGTTCTACCTTGGGTTGTACGAACAAACTGCTGATGAGAATTACAACTTTCTTAGAGCCTGATGCAAGGTATGTTTACTCAGATGTAATTGTTGCTGAGCTGTCAAGAACTTAGTTCATCAAAAAGTACAGCTTTGGCTTTATTGCCTTGAGGAGAATATTAGCATATTTTGGACCTCACTTTTCCATTTTTTTCCTAGCAAAACAAGTTCCAAAAGAATGATAAAGGAATTAGTAACAAAGTAAGATTTTCATAATAATTTTGTATCTTTAGTGCAGAATAATCTTAAGTAACAAATATTATATTTATGTATGATGCCTGACTTCTAAGACATGCTAAGCCTGATCTGCAGTGTCCTTTGTTACCAAAAGTGTCAGAAGAAATGTCCATTCACCACTTGTTCATTTTCCTCTTTGGCTCTGCACTTCAATTCAGTCACCTGCTGTTTCAGCTTCTCAATCTAAATATTAAAAACATAAAGTTGATAAAGAAGTCAATAATTCCCCCTGATAATGGCCAGAAGCCAATAATTGTTGAACGAAGGGCTGCAAAAATTAAGATCCCCTGAAAGCCTTTCTTCTGGCTTAAGTACATATTCTCCATATTCTAGCAATTGGAGATGGGTTCTTATTGTTATAAGCATTGAGAAAAATGTTCTTTACAACTGAAAGGCATACCAAACCTATAAATGCCATCATCTCCCTCTTTCAAAAGCTTACCCATAGCTAGTCCTAATTTCCAAAAATGGTACAATGGAAAGCCCAAAAACTAGCATGGAGACCTTCCTATGAGGTTTTTATATTAAACTCATAGATAGCCCTCTTTCAAACCTCATTTTCCTCCAGAGGCACTTTAAGCAGAGGTCAGATTGATTGTTTCCCACCACCTCTTACACCAGGAAAGGCATCCAGGGGAGGATGAGGCCAGGAGCAAATGTTCAGACTTTCTGGGCATTCAAGTGTGAATTTTCTAACCCTGGGAATCACTAGCTACAGATGTGGAATCTATTATCAAATTCCCCTGTCCAATGTCACAATCAAAGGAAACTTATCGGTCTCCTGATGCTACTACCCCAGGGAATATGGAGTTTCATTCTTAGTTACTTGCCTTTATCCTGATTGTGCTAGTCTCATTAACAGTGGTCGGTTCCATAATTTTTTTTCCAGCACATTTCTTCATTCTGAAATGGTGCACACTTTACGATTATTGCATTGCGCTGAGATGGTGATGACTCTTTATATATTACACTGAATATATAAAGTATCAGGTGTAATGTAAATGCAGTAATAATTAAAGCCAAATCCACAATTTAAACTAATCAATATCTGGCATATGCCTAGTTTTGCCCACTAAACCATAGCCTGACAAATTAAAGAGTGGCAACTCTACACCTACCATGTCTTCTTTCTCCGCGTCTTGCTTCTTGAGGCTGGAGATCACGTCGACCGTATCCTTCTCCAGCCGCCGCCGCTGCCGCTCCAACTCTTCATTGTTCCGGGCGAGGCGGCGAGCAGCCTCGCGGTACTCCTTGCGGGAGATCTCCGTCACCTCCAATCTGGCCTCCCATAGCGCCGCCGCGGCTTTAGCCCTGTCAGCCTCCGACTCTTCCTTCAAGGTCTTCGGGTCCACTTTGCTCCCGCCGACGCCCCCGCCGGCTTTCGTCCCCCTGAGAAGAGCAACGCGGCGCAAGGGAAGAGTTTAGGATTGGGCTTAGCAGACTACCCCCGGCCAGCAGCCCACCACGTTCGTTAGGAGAACACTTTCCAGGGTACCTACTTCCCTCCCTTCGTGCTTTTGCTTTTCGCTTTTTTCTCCTTCATGTTACCAGGCTCCCGCTTTTCTAGGTACAGTACTTTCTTTCCTCCTAAAGCGACTCCGTTACTATGGAAACTACGCGTCGCGGAAAAGTGAGGAAGAAAAGGTGCGCCCGTGACGTAATGCGCAGTGTATTGACGTGACACGCGGCACCGGCGAGATGTGGAAGGTTGAAGGTTCGGAAAAGATGGTGAGTGAAAACTGGGCTGGGGGGTGAATGAAGGAGAAGGGGGTTCCTTCCCTAATCTAGGGCCTTGCTCCTGTCTTTCGGTGCACTTCTGACTCTGCTCTTAACCCCTCAAGTTCTCCCCATCTTGGTTTGGGCGTACCGGGTTTTTGCTACTCCTTTTAGCGCCCTTTCATACTGAGGTTGGCTTGGCGACCATCAGTGCTATTTGTTCTTTTTAAATTACTTTCCAAAATAAGGACTTTGTATCTTTGCCAATTGTGTACATCGATTTTTCAACCAGGATAAGTTGTATTTCCCTTAATTAAGTTCTTAATTATATATCAAGTTCTTGATATTTCTTGTTGCATATCATGTGTTCTAAATATTTCAAACTCCTTTTCTCGATAGTTTTTGCATTTTCTGTATCTTTGCTCATTCTTTAGAGAACTGTGTCATTTCACACACATTTAACCCATGATATTTTAAGTAATCCATAAACGGACGTTTCAAAGGTTTTTATTCTCCTGATTGTCATTTGGGCATCATTCATGCTTCTATTCAATATAGAAGAACTGGCAAGATGTAATAGCATACAATCCCCCAACAAAATTCCAATCTTAAGTCTCAACAGCAAACATTTACTTTTTTTTTTTTTTAAAGCTACTCTCACTTATTCAATCTTGCTCCTTATTTCCGTGGTATGTTCCATAGAACTCAGTTCCATAGTCCTACAGACTCAATTACAGATACTTGGCATGTATCTTCCAATGCTAATTCAACCTTCCATCTACCCAGCCTGGAAATTTCTGTTTCAGTATTTTGCATGAAAAGGAAAAATGGTTCATCCTTTTTTGCCAATATTTTTCTTTTTAAAAATATGCAGATCTTTGTTTACAAGCATATTTTTACAGCATAAGAAACCACATGTGATTTCTTTACATACAAATTCATATGTTCAGTATATTGCTATTCTTGAAAATGATGTTACCTTTTTTTCACTGTTATATCAGTGTCTCTGAGATTTCTGGTGTGATATTCTAAGGTTGCTTAACAGCATTTCCAAGTAATTATACCAATCTTGGGATCATAGGAGTTCTAGCTCAGTATTTGACAGATATAAGCCTGGCTAGGAAAGATGAGAGTTTTAATACAACACATCTTGAGCATATCACTTTAGGGAAGGCTGAGTTACAGTATCTCTTTCATCTAATAAAGTACTAACTGGACTGCAGAGTATGACAGAATGTGGTAAATCCCTCTTTTTTTCTGTATTGACTTTTAACCTTTTTGTTGCAACAAATATTCAGCTTTGTAAATAATTTCCTAATTCAGTAGCTTTCAGTGGAACTTCCTACCTGAAATATGCCCCTTGAACTTCTGCTAGAAAAAAAATCCAATTGGACATTTTTTCTTATTTGCCTTAGATAAATGATAAACCGCCGTTCACAGAAAATGGACTTACTAATATATAATATGCAACTTTCCTGCCTACATGATTAACAGCTGAATATTTTTTAATTTTACCCATAAAAGAGGTAAGTGTACATGTAGATTGTATTTCAGGTATCTGAATGTTTTGGGGAGAAGTCTGGTATAGAAGAAACTGCCTGAATTAGATCTTTTCATTTGAAGATATGGGGATGAAGGCTGCTCAAATTATTATATTATATTATATTATATTATATTATATTATATTATATTATATTAATATTGTCCAATATAATTGTCATATATAAAAATAAAAATTGAGAGCTAATGTGACTTAGTGGCTAAGGTGTTGGACCAGGGCCAGGGAGTCCTAGGTTCATGTGTACACTTGGTCATGGAAACTGAGTGATTTTGGGATAGTCTCTCGGTTTCTCTCTCTCTCTCTCAGCCCAGCCTACTTCACAGGGTTGGTTTTGTGGGAATAAATGAAGGGAGGTCTCCCTTAAAAGTTAACTTGACCTCCTAGAGGAAAGCAGGATATAGCAATCAAGCAGTCAAGTATATTTTGTACTTTATAAAACTAAAAAGAGAAAAAAGGAAATCAGTACACAGATAGTATATTGCAAAACCTCAGTTCCAATGCATTTTAAGGGGGAATCTCTTAAGGGTAATACAGTTCATAAAAATAACACCTTCACTGCACATATAACTAAAATGATAGACACACATATTAGCCATTATTAAACAATATAATATTAAAATGTTATTTTTTACAGTCCCCTGAAGAAAAGCTCTTCCTTGAAATGCATTGGGATTAAGTTTTTGCAATAAACTATATGTATGCTATTTTCCTTTTTTGTTCTTTTAACTTCCTTGCTCCATTCAAAGAAGAGAAGAAGAAAACAAAGACTAGTGTACACTGGAAAAATGCCTTTATTTTAAATACCAATCCTTATGTTATTAACAGGATAGGGAGATTAAGAGACTGTGGTAAAAGCTTTACAATAAAAGTGTTTTTTAGATGGAATTTGTAAAAAAAAAAGGAGAGGTAGATTATATTGCATACATTCACTATTTTTTAGATTTTGAAAATGTCCAATTAGATCAAATTTTCTTAGTCTACCTAGAACCATTTTTGTAAATTAGATTAAAATTTCACCATCAGATTTTCTAATTCTACTTTGAAATCCTATAGACTTTGACAACCAGTTACTTGCAGCAAGATATGAAAAATACTTTCGTTTTACGTGGATTAGAACGTTATGCATTAGAAATCTAAGGTTTAGGTTCAAGAGTATCAGAAAAATTCAAAATTCATCTTGGCAAATACAAACTGAGTCTTCTTATGCCTCCCCAATTTCCAAAGAGATATATGGATAAGAGTTACTATATCCTGGGTGTGTACTGGTATGAGTTTGTTGCTACTATTTTTAATTAACATAATAACTTGTTTCTGTATCACACTATAAGAATGTTAATCTTGCTCTGTTGTTCTACAAGGCAGAAATTAAACCAGCAAATAGGAATTGTAGCAAATAACTTTTCAATTAATCATTAGGAGAAACTCTGTTAATAGAACTATTTGATTAAATAGTCATTGCGGTCCCCATGAACCCATTAAGGGTTCATTTCAGATAGTTTACGATTAGGTATAAAGTTGAAGGATTAGCACTAAAAGTTAAACACATGGTAGGACAAGAAAATGGAACAAAAGTAGAGCAGAGTTTTTTGAATAACGGGAGACAAAAGTGAAACAAGTGGGAGGATGAATGCTGAAACAGATAAAGAATCTGGCAATTAGGAATTCAGATGCTAAGTACTGATCACGTGTCAGTGAGCTATTATAATCAGCAGATCATAATTGTGAAATATTATTGCATAAGGTGAACTTTGATGTTTATTAGAAAACAGAGTACACCAGAGTTAAGAACAGGCAAGGATCTACTATGAAATGAAGACAAATACAGGTAGTCCCCGGGTTAAGAACACCCGGGTTACAGACAACCCATAGTTAAGAATAGAGACTATTGTAGCAAAATTTGAGTTAAATACACAATGATTCGAGTTAAATACACAATGGTTCAAGTTCATTACACAATACTACTTATACAGTATTATATAGTAAGACAAATACAGGTAGTCCCCGGGTTAAGAACACCCGGGTTACAGACAACCCATAGTTAAGAATAGAGACTATTGTAGCAAAATTTGAGTTAAATACACAATGATTCGAGTTAAATACACAATGGTTCAAGTTCATTACACAATACTACTTATACAGTATTATATAGTAATACTGTTCTGGCTTACATACAAATTCAACTTAACGACAGACCTTGGGAATGGAACTCATTCTTAAACTGGGGACTACCTGTACCTGCGAACAGCAAACAAAGTAAAACAAAATGGCACAGTAGGGGGAATTGAGACCTGAATGGAGAAAGAAATGGTACTAAATTTCAAATACTTTGTTTAAATGTGAACAGAAATTTGTAGTTATGTGATTGATTGATTGATGGATTGATTGATTGATTTAAAAGACTTATATGGCTGCCCATCTTATAGAATACAACTATGGATGGTTCACAACAATAAAAACCAGACAATAAAACCAGGCACTTGACCCACTATCTCCAGTCCATCAATCATTACAATCATTGGGCTCCAATGTGTTGGCTTCACATTATTTAAGCACTCAGAATTCACTAGAAGCAATACTGTTCATGAATTTTCTCCTGCTACAAAAATCTAAGTCATACAATGTGAAACTGTCATCTGTTTTCCTTGATTTATTGTCCATTTCAGTTTGAGATTTTAGCATAATTAGGCTTTTTTGTATTTCCTGTGCTGAGTAGCATTTAGAATTTTCCTTTAAGCAGTCATTTATTATCTGGGATTGCATATTAGCTTGTCAACATTTTTTGGAATCTTATGGGATGCAGGTGTGCTTCTGCGCATCAAACACAATTAATGGGGGAGTTTGATTTGAAAGTACAAGCACAAAACAGGAATAATCCTGAACCATAAATTGGATATGGAGGGGGAGGGCACTACAACTAAATGCATTGTTTTGTTCTGCCTATTTGGTGCCATCAACAGCATGTACAATTCCCATTGTTGGTTGGTTTGAATGACATTTGTATTCTATGCTTCCCCAGCTTTCTCAAAGTGATAGCCAGGATTATAGTAAAGCTGACTGCATTTATTCCTGTTTGGAATCTGCAATATTAACAAATAGAGTTACTTTATAAAGAAACAGAACTTTCATATTTATTCCATATGGAATTTTAGAACACAGTTGTAACTGTTCCATAGATTTTAAGGAGCAGACTTGAAGTGTAGTGGTTTGTCCTTGTCTGGGTGATCAAACCACCTTTTTTGGGATGTGGGAAATTTCTGTGTTGGCTAACTTATTTAACTGAGATTTAACTTACAATTTTTCTGATGTATATAACTTTATCTTCAGGAACCTCTACAATCCTGGTAGTCCTGATTCAAGCTGCAGTTCTCTAAGGCTCCCAAGCATGATGGGTATTTCGTGGTTCACAGTCACTGCCATATTTGCGTTTTCCTCCATTTATTGTATTGTTTCTCATCCCAAACCGGAGTTGTGGTTCCAAAACCTCTACCCCCTTAAGATGTGTCCTGCCAATGCCAGCGTGGGAACATTTTATGGCATCATGTTTGATGCAGGAAGCACAGGGACACGAATTCATATTTACACCTTTATACAGAGAAGCCCAGGTAAGATTGTGGGAAGGTTCTCCTGAACATACATGCTTGTGGTGTGGAGCCTGCTAGATGGTTGTACTGTACACATGTACACATGACTTGTAATTTCCCACTGATTATGTTTTGTGTTTTTTAATTGATTTAATTATGTTTGTTGTTTTTGTATTTGGTATATTGTTTATTGTTTATTGTTTATTGTTTTTGTGGTTGTTTTTAATTATGTGAGCCTCCCAGAGGCATAAAAGTGAGGTGGGCAGCTATATATGTTGAGTAAATAAATAATAAAAATGTGCTACAATGACCAGCCACTTATCAATGTATTATAAGCAGTTAATAGACTAATTTTGATATTAATCACCTTGTTTAAAGTTGAATTAATTTCAGTAAGTCTATAAGCAACTCTTAAAACATAATTCAGATAGATTAAATGTTTTACTTTTAGGAATTTGTGTATCCTTATTTCATAACCTCTTATTAATTTCCCAGTTTCATTCATTTCCTGATTTCATTCACTTTTGATTGGTTTGTGCAAGTCTCTTTTAAATATTTTTTGGTTCAGTTGCTTAATTCATGTACTTCCTTGAGAAGAATTCTAAAGTAGATTAAGTTGAAAAGATGGAAACTGGATATGAGTGCAACATAATTCTACAAGTAGAAAAACAAAAGGTTCAAATTACAGGGAATGTTTAATAACATTCTCTGCTCTTTTAGTTGTTTGGCATTTCCAGTTTGGTATGTTTTATTATATTTAATTATGTACTAAAGAATCTTAATCTTTTAATCTTGTTATTAATCCAATACAAACATTTGCCCTCCTTAATTAATACTGGAATTGTACAGTTGCATCACTCTGATAAACCAAATGCAGTACAGATTGTTCTTGACTTACAACCACAATTGGGACTGGAACTTCCGTTGCTAAGTGATGCAGTCATTAAGTGAGTTGTGCCCAATTTTATGATCTTTTTTGCCATGGTCATTAAGCAAATTACCACAGTCGTTAAGTGAATTGTGCAGGTCATTAAGCGAATCCAGCTTCCCCCATGGACTTTGCTTGTTGGAAGCTCCCTGGGAAGGTCACAAATGGCAATCATGTGACCCCGGGATGCTGCAACTGTCATAAGTACATGCCGGTTGCCAGGCACCCGAATTTTGATCACATGACTGTGGGGATGCTGCAATGGTTGTAAATGTGAGGGCCAGTCGTAAGTCACTTTTTTCAGCACTGTTGTAACTTCAAATGGTCCTTAAACAAATAGTCATAAGTTGAGGACTACCTGTAACCTGAAAAACTATGCCCCAAAAGGAGGAAGAGGAGAGATGGTTTTGATCAGGGATTATGAAGCATCTGGATTTTCATCTGTATTAACAAACGAAATGAGAATTCGTTATTAGAGGAATAAACAGTGGTATAAATTCACAAGGGATAGGAGTAATAAAGGCTCTAGTAATACACAAGGGGCAGGGTAATACTCAAGAAAAATGATAGCATGAGACTTCTAATCAGATTGAAGAATGGACTGTTCCCCTTTTGATTTTTTTACATTAACTTAGATACAATGGAAGCAAAATATTCATGAGAAAAATAATGATAGAACACAGAATAATAATTTTCTTGTGCTATTCTCAATATCTGTATTCTACCTTAATGCAGTATGTCAAAAACCAAGCCATGCTGGTCCACTGAAGACCTGTATTGAGGAACTAAAATAATGAGTTAAATTCTGTGAAATAGGTTCATTCCATTCATAACCAGTATAAGTGTGTTAAAACTATTTAATGCTAAGAAATATGTAAAATCATAAGGAAACTTACAATCAAAGTCATGTGTAACATTTGGGGTTCTTTACTGGTCTACTGTTTTGTGCAACTGCATTTTGGTGCCTAAATTTCCTTTAAGAGGAGATTCTGACCAGATTCTTAGGCTTCATTCCTCACAGAAACAAACATACCAAGACAACAGAAGCTTAGATGATGAGTTGTTAATTCAAAGTTTTACTGACAGAGTTGATGCTCTTGATGAACTAAAAAATAAACAGTCTCCCAAGTCCTTAGGTTCTACACAGGTCTACATAGTTCTCTTGCTAACAATACAGAAGTTTGCTATTATCCTCTAGGATGTTTTTTGATTTCCTAATCTAGCCTACAACCATGGGGTTTCCTGGGGGTTTCCCATCCAAATACTAATCAAGTATGACAATGCTTTTCTTTTCATGATTGGCCAAGGTTGGCTAGGCTAACCCTGCTGATTATGTTTGCATTCCTAAAGAAAGTGCCTCTCACAGCCCCTGCCCTCTGGAATAGTATCCCCCCAGAGATATGTATGGCACCTATTCCCTCAGGCTCTTTCGGAAGACTCTTAAGACCTGGCTTTGATCCCACTGTTGTCTTTTGTTTTTAGTTTTTGTTCAGTATTTTGGCTGGGTGGTTATGCTTTGTAGTTATGTTTTGTGGTTATGTGGTCATATTGTGGTCTCCTACAAAAAGTAATATTTGTTACATGGAACCCACCACCCACATTACAAATAATTATTTATGTATCACAGAATAAAATTGCAGTTTTCTACATGTTCACTGCAAATCAGTTTCTCTGAAAGGCACCTCTTGGCTGAATCTTTGGGACTTTGATTAAAGACCACAACCTTCAGTGACATTAAGATATTTCAGTTATTACCTCATTTGTAATCTGTAGAGCAAAATATCATTAATCTGTCCTTATAGATATATCCTTAGATGTTAATAAGCCTATCTGTTAAACAGCTTGTTTTATATAATTTTTGCAGAAAACCCTGCAGAGTTAAAAGGGGAAGTTTTTGAATCAGTGAAGCCAGGTCTCTCAGCATACGCTGATCAGCCTAAGAAGGTAAGACTTTCTGATGGAAAACAAACTATTTTCTGTTGGCATTTGAAAATAGTATGTATGTTAAAGGAAAACTACTGATCTCATTTGTCTACTATGGAGACTGGAAAATAGTTACTGGAAAATAGTAGTTCTCCAAGCTTTTTCCTATTCTCCCTAAACCTAGCTGAAGATAAGAGTGATTACAGCAGGAACATTGTGTGTGCAAGGACATATTTTGCCATTAACCAATGCCAGTATAGCACATCATCTTCAGGGTTCTATGAGGAAGAAAAATAGGTAGCCCCATAAACAATGAGAAAATTGACAGAGGTTGGGACAAGAGAACATAGCTGGGATCAGTAGCTTGCCTAGGGACATGGGGACAGATGTCAATTAAGGCAATTGCATATACCTCAAGCTTAGTTCAAGAGGAAAATTTTAAATGTTAAGCTAAAGCCTTCAGAAATAAAGTAGGTTTGGAGGAAGGGATTGAAGAAGAGAAATATTTGAAATGTGTTTGCAAACTAAAAATTCTGCCCAATACTATCAGGTTTTTGCTTTTGTTTCTGTTAATCTTTAGGGAGCTGAAACTATCAGAAAATTATTAGAGATGGCTAAAAGTGCTGTACCACCAAGTCACTGGAGCAAGACCCCCGTAGTATTGAAAGCCACTGCTGGTCTACGGTTGTTAGCAGAGCACAAAGCTCAGGCTCTACTCTCGCAAGTAATGTTGGGTTATGCTACAAAGGTCAATGGTGTTTTGTAAAAGTGGGGGCCTTTTTCAATGCCTGTCCATGAACCTGCCACTGTTGCTTTTTAAAATACTGTATCAAACTAAATGGAAGCACTTGTAAAATCCTTTATTATGGAAAGCACTGTATCCTAGATTGGTCAGATGTCACCTTGAGTACCGTGTCTGATTCTGAAACACATGCAGAGAAAGGCAGTGAGGATGGTGGGATACTGGAAACTTACTGGATACTGAATGTTTAAGTCCTCAGTCCTGTGAGGACTTAAGGAAACTGGGTATGTGTAGGTTAAGGAAACTGGGTATGTGTAGTCTTGAAAAAAGTTGACTGAGGAAAGATTTGATAATCCTCTTCAAGTACCTGAAGGGATGTCACACAAAATAATTCCATGACCTGTTCTCTATTTGTCCTAGATTGCAGGACATAGAATATTAATCTTAAGTTCCAGGAAGGCAGACTTTGGATGAATGTGAGAAAAATTGTAATGGTAAGAGCAGTTCAACAGTGGAATCAGTTAATGAGGAAAGTGGTGAGCTCCCTTTTGCTGGATGTGTTCTAGTAGAGCTGGACAGCCATTGGTCAGGAATGGTTTACTTGAGTTTCCTGCATTGAGCAAGAAGTTGGACTCAGTGGCCTAAATGGCTTCTTCCAACTCTTACAATTTTATAGCTATTCTATAGCTCTGTATTAGTAAGGCTGGCATCTCAGTAATGCAGAAAGTAATCTGGTTTTAATGGTAGTGTTTAGAGGTTGAATAAAACCATTTAATCTGTAGCTGGTTTTACATTCCCCTGTTTTTTATAGGAGAAGAAAGTTGCATAATTTGCATACTTCTTTTTGTGAATGGTTCCAGTTCTAGGAAGATCACCCAGTTTTTTCTTTCCACAGGTCAGAGTGGTCTTTGAGGATTCACCATTTTTAGTTCCTGATAATAGTGTTAGCATAATGGATGGCTCTTATGAAGGTGCGTCCTACGAATAAGGAAAAAGAGGAGGCATAGAGGAGAGAAATAACTAGGGAACCAGGAGGGGAAGAAGAGTTCCTTAGAATTGAATAAGACATTGTGATGCTGCTTTTAAAGTGACCAAGATTATAATATCCTAGGGAAATAGGATTCTATATATAGGAAAACAAAAAAATTCCTTGGTTGTATTAGTGACACACATTATAAGATGAAAAACAGATTCAAGTAGCTATGCTGTCCTTATGAAATTTACAATTGGAACCCATCCTAGCGAAGGATAGATTTAGAAAGCAGTGTCATAATGAATATGCATTTATTTTATTATGCTGTTTATATACCTCTTTATTCCACAGTGACTTCAGTCAGTTGACTACAATAGAATACAATACAATAGAAGCATGTACCTAACATACTAAATGAAACAAATAAATAACAAATAAAATATAAAAAACAAAAATAAACTAAATTATGATGTTAAAAAATCAACTATTAGCACCCTTCCCATACAGGCAATGTGTGTATTCAGTCCAATCTGAAGACCCTTTAGAAAAGAACAGTTTTCACTCTCTTCCTGAAGGACTTTAGTGTAGCATTGGATGAAGGGATGAACTTGGGGGGAAGGGGGATTACTGCAAAGGAATAGTCCATGACTGATAAGATCTGCCTCTATGTCACTCTATAACTCTCAAAGTGTAGGAACTCAAAACAACCCCTCTTAGTTGAACAAATAGGATAGGCAGGCACTTAAAAGCCAAGCCATGCAAGCCTTTATAAGTTAAAACCAACATCCTGAACTGTACTTGGGAATCTATTACTAACCAGTGCAACAGCAGCATTACATGGTTACAGTGGCTCTCAAATACCAACAGGCAGGGTGCTACTTTCTAAACTGATTGCAGTTTCTGGGTAGTTTTCAAGGACAGTGGCATATAAAGTGCATGCACCTCCAGCCTAGAGGTGATGAGGGCATGAGTTACTGTTGCCGAGGCCTCCTGTCCAAACAGGAGTTAAGCCCTGTGGTACCTCAGCTGCTCGTTCTCCAGCATCGCTGATTGGAACCTCTCATTTAGGAAGGAGTGAAACCAACTATAAAACAGTGCCATCCACCTCCAACCCACACAGGCAGTCCACAAGGATACCATTATCAATGGTATCAGATGCCATTAAAGATCTAATAAAATTAGGAAGGTTGCAGGTCATCCATTTGAGCAACCAATGCAGTTTCCATCCCATACTCATGCACCTCCTTTTCTACCAACTTTCTCAAAAAGAAAGATTGGAAACTGGGCAAAAGTTGTCTAATACGAACAGACTGAAAGATGCTTTTTCTGGAAGGGCACACCACTTCTTCTTTCAAGGCAGCCAGATCAAATCTCTCTCTCAAAGAAGCATTAACCACCTGAATCTAACTAAACAATTCAGCTTTATGAAGTTATAAGGAGATTCTAACTACAGTATGAAATAGCTTTACCCTTTAGTTCAATATCACATACTTATCCAAGCTTAGTTCAGCTGAATACCCTTAATCCAGACATTTATTTAGCTGAGTGAAGGGATCTTAACTTGGCAATTAGTTAAAAATGTCCTTTGAAGTTGGTTTCAGTAAAAATTATGCAATAATTCTGCAGGGTTTATCTTAAGAAACCTGATAGGAAAGTACAAAAACTGGAACAAAGAAGAGACTGAGTAAATTTTAGATGGGGAAATAGTAATGTAGGTTAAGTAAACACCTCCCAAGAAACCTGATAGGAAAGTACAAAAACTGGAACAAAGAAGAGACTGAGTAAATTTTAGATGGGGAAATAGTAATGTAGGTTAAGTAAACACCTCCCAAGAAACCTGATAGGAAAGTACAAAAACTGGAACAAAGAAGAGACTGAGTAAATTTTAGATGGGGAAATAGTAATGTAGGTTAAGTAAACACCTCCCCCCCAAAAATAATTAAGAAGCCAGACAATGAATGAAATGATATTCTGCATGGACAAGTACTGATAATTGATCAGCAGAAATGCATAGAGTGGACTAATAACTTTGTAGATTGTATTTGCAGTCTATAGATGGAAGGATTTTTAGTAGCTTTTTCTTTCTCT